CTATTTGTTTATCCATTCATCTGTTGATGGGCACTTGGGTTGTTTCCATCATTCTGCTGTTGTGAATAATGCTGCAATGTCTATTCGTGTCACTACTTATTTCTCTAGGATATATACCCAGGAGTGGGATTGCTGGATCATAAAGCATTTCTATTTCTAGCTTTTTGAGGAAGCACCATATTGTTTTCCATAGTGGTTGTACCATTTTACATTCCTACCAGCAGTGTAGAAGAGTTCCAGTCCCCCTACAACCTCGTCAGCATTTGCTGTTTTCTTTTTATTTATCATTTCCATTTCTGCAGGGGTGAAACAGTATCTCATTGTAGTTTCGATTTGCACCTCTCTAAAAGCTAATAATCATAAGCATCTTTTCATGTATCTGTTGGCTGCCTGAATGTCCTCTTTGTTGAACTGTCTGTTCATGTCCTTTGCCCATTTTTTGATTGGATTGTTTTTTTGTTGTTGAGTTGTTGAAGTTTTCTATGTATTTTAGAGATTAGACCCTTATCATATGTCTTTACCAAATATTTTTTCCATCTGTAGGTTCTCTTTTTACTGTCTTGGTAAACTCTTTTGATGAGCCTAGGTATTTACTTTTTAGGAGATCCCAGTTATCTAATTTATCTTCTGTCATTCGTGCATTTTTTGTTTTGTTTGATATTCTATTTATGCCAAAGATTATGTCCCCTAGTTTTGACCCTATGTTTTCTTCAGGAATTTACGGTTTTACCTTTTAACATTTAGGTCTTTGAGCCATTTTGAGTTATTTTTTGTGCATAGTGTGAGGTATGGATCATGATTCGTTTTTTTCTGCATATGGATATCCAGTTTTGCCAGCACCATTTGTTGAAGAGACTGTTTCTTTCCCATTGAATGGAATTTGACCCTTTGTCGAACAATCAGCTGTCCGTAGATGGATGATTTTATTTCTGGTTCTCAATTCTATTCCATTGGTCTATGTGTCTGTCATTTAACCAGTACCAGGCTGTTTTGATTACCATGGCTCTATAGTAAGTTTTGAGACAGGGAAGTGAGAGGCCTCCTACTTTGTTCTTCAGCCCCACATGATCTGGCTCCCTCATCTCCTGCCACTTCACTTATAGCCTCCTTTCCATTCCTCCTATCTAGGATTATCCACTTCAGGGCCTTTGTACTTTCTGTTCCCTAATGCCTGGAATGCTCCTTAGAAGTGAGGATAGCGAGACTTCATCTCACTTACTTTGGACATATTATCAGGAGGGGCCAATCCCTGGAGAAGGATATCATGCTTGGTGAAGTAGAGGGTCAGTGAAAAAGAGAAAGACCTTCAACAAGATGGACTGACACAGCGGCTGCAACAATGGGCTCAAACATACCTACTACTGTGAGGATGGTGCAGGACTAGGGAGAGTTGCATTCTGTTATGCATAGTGTCACTGTGAGTTGGAACCGACTGGATGGTACCTAACAACAATGCCTGGAATGTTCTTCCCTCAGGTATTGGTATGGCTTGCTTCCTCAAGCCTTCTTATCTGCTCAACTGCCACCTTACCAGATAGTGCTTCCCTTACCAACCTAATAAAATATCTCTGGCACTCTCCATCAATCCCCCTTATCCTGCTTTTTCTTTTTAGCCCTTACTGAATATTAAATATTTATTTCTTGTGTAGCCCCAGCCTGCACACCCCCCCCCCACC